GATGTCACGGGTGAGAGGGTCAAGATGATGTGAAAACAGGAACGAATGAAACTGTATGAGAACCAATTAAGTCAAGTGCACTTTTATTACAACTTAAGTACAGATCAAATATCAATGCTGCCATATCGACTCATCAAAGAATAAATTCTAAACTGGTTGGCATCGGGTGGGTCTGATGTAGTGTCACATTTGACCGGCGCTCGTCTATTAGAGCCCAAGCTATCGGTTCACATGTGCTGGGCATTTACAATCATCTGTCCTGTCCCCCGGCACTCCTCGAGGGCAGTAAAACTTAGAACGTTAGCACACACAGAGGCTTTTAAGGATCCCGTCTCATACATGTGAACTTCGCACACGCAACGAAGGTTGGCTCAACCGCCTCAACTCCCCGCACGGAAGATGACCTAATTACGAAAACCGAGCTGCACAACGATTGTGACTCATTTTGACTCGCATCATTAGACCCCTCTTTGCTCGTCCATGAACAATTCTTTTTCCACAAACTTGAGAATGAGTTCATTCAAAATATAGCGTCGTTTATACTAAGCTAAGAACCAACATAATCGGTAATATGATCGATAGATTTTACCTCATTTTATTTCGTCGCTAGAAATGATGATTTTTGATATCACGTGATCGTGAATTTTTTAAAATCACCACGCGGATGGACTGGTATTCGGTTCCATTTTGTCCGTGGATCGGTAGGGCGATCCACTTTTCGACCTCAGTTTTAAACCAAAGCATAAAAACATTCATATAACTCTGTGTTATTGTTTCTACTGCTTCAATCACCTTGTCAGGCCAGATATGTGCTCCTGGTACGATATAACATGGGTGCTGGTCAGCACACACTGTACGAGCCCAATGTGGATGTGACCGACGGTCAGTATCACATTGTACAAATTGTCCGTGACGGTCCAAGCGGTCTTTTACGTGTGGATTTGGAACACGAGCGCACCAATATGCCCAAAGGTGAGCCACTGCACACACAGACATGCATTGGTACTGTTTACTTGCTCAATAAACTTTTCCTGTATTGATTCCAAGATGGCGCCACCCAACCGAAACCGAAACGCAAAGGTAGGATTAAACATAAGCATATATTATCAATGTCGAAACTGATAAACCCAATTAACCAGGCACAAATCACGCATCAGATTATCTAACCGCCGTACCGCTCTCTCTCTCTCTGTTTGTAAACAGCACACGGGAGAACACAATAGTCTAATACCTTGTGAAACCAATGGGATAGATTTAAGTAAACTGAATGGGGCTGATGGTGGTTTTGAAACTCTGGGTTTCCAGTTTAGTCAGTTTTGGATTTCGTATGTATCCGTGGTAACCGTGGTGAGATAAATTACTGGTAAACTAAAGCTTCAGTATCAGTTTTAAATTTATTGTCAACTTACAAAATAAGGTTATCCTATTGTATTTTTCCTAAAATTAATTTCACATTGCATGGATCTAAATAAGGGAACAATTTGTATGATCTTATGCAACAGGGTTGGTCTGATCTGCATTATTCGTCTTTTTAAGTGATGCTCAAATAGGACCTAATCCGTAGCACAATGATTCAGACTGAAATCGATCCGTTTTCGTGTTAGCAACTTAGTCCTATTTCCCCGTCGATCAATATGATGGAACGCATCATCAAACAGAAACAGTCAGAGGGACATATGAATTCATACTTTTAATTGTGGTTACTTGAACACAGGTAAATCGGTGCCACAAACGTTTGTGCATCTTGAGAGCTGAAACCGAAGGTAGATTGAAAATCATTTGAATAAAATGTTTGAATTGATGAAATTGACTTGGTCATCCCTAGGTGCCCCCAATTGTGCAGAACTAATCAATGCACTTTCAAACTTATGTATCACTGAGATAAGCAAAGAAAAGCAAACGAAGATCCTGAACCTATCTGAGTGAGACCGGGCCTGGATGAGACGGGAAACAAACAACTCACAAGACTGCTATTCACAGTTTAATGTTTCTCTAATTTCGTGATATTTATGTATAATCTATCCACGATCATATAAACTTGATACGTTTGCTCATTTGAATATGAAAACCTAATCTGCCGACCCATATAATATAGTCGCTGCGCAGATAGCAGCGTGATAGACATCACTGGAGACGGGATTGTACGACGCAAAACGCCACACTCGGACTGGACAGCATGCATTTCTTTCTGCATTATGCATTCGTTCCAGTTCAATGATTTAGTATGAGGGCAATGCTTCTTTCGTTGTCTTTTATTAACAGCTAACCACACACCCACGCGCGTACAGCGCCAAATGCCAAATCGAGGGAATTCAAACAAAATGGTAAAACGAAAACTGTTGTAATCTGTCGACAAAACTGACTGTTTGATTGTATGCGAGTTCTGAATGAAAAAAATGAGAAAATCTTTTCAAAAGCCAAAGTCTTATGAATTTGGAGAATGACTTCCGTTAGAAAAGAGTGTTTTTTAAAGTATTTGTGGGTAGAATATTGAGAGTGGCAAGTAGTGGTGTATTGAGCGTCTTTCAAACTTATTTATTCCTGGAATGGCCGAAAGTGTATTTAAATCCCTAGCTTCTCTGGAGTGGTTTCAACATTGTAATATTTAATATTGGTTTCCACCCCGCACCCCCTGTCAAAGAAACCGTTTTTTATTTTGTGATACTAAACTTCATGAATAAAGCTCCGTTGTAAATATTTACAGGCTCATGAACACTTCGCATCAGCCCTGCTTTTTGTAGAATTTCGCGATCGAAATAGACAGGTTTTGATCTATCTTCTGTAGGATTACATTAATTTCTGTAAATATTACAAACAAAGTATCTGAATTACTGAGATGTGAAAGCACCTGGTCGGTTAAGCCTCTCTTTTCGCTCTCCAGGCATCCGCAACTGGAAATCTTTTGCCAAGTCACTCGTGTAATTTTATCGGATTTGCTTATCAAAAATACGGCATGAACAGCGAAGTCCATCGTTTGCTTCGAGGGAAATTTCGTTGAGCCATTCAGATACTAATTAGTGTAAGGTGTTCCCTAGAATAAACTTAAGTAGGGTTTGTTGCTTTTATTCGTATCTGACCCACATAGGAGATATCAAGTCAAGGTATTGGTTCACAAGTGGAATGCTTAAAAAAGATCTATGACAACGAATATGTTCAGTGTTTCAAATTCGATTTGAATCAAAGGTTTGTCAATGAGCTATTCATTTAATACCACTTCAAGGAATACATAATGTGAGACATTCAGATGTTTATACAATCAAGGTATTCATGAATTATTTGTAAAGAATTCCCTCAAGCACGTTCCAGTGAAAATAGCATATACAAGGAAATCGCAAAACTTGTATATCAACCTAGTCAAAGTGTAGCTAATTACGAGGATAACATTTCATTCAGTCGAAAACGCAAGTTTATGAGTTGAATATTGTTTATTGTCATTAGCTGGTAATAATTTCCGCTGAGAAACGTTATTTTCACACTCCATTACCGAAAGACCTCTGTTCCGTTACCGCGAACATTGAAGTACAAGTAGAATATAAAATGCAAGATTTTCGTTTTTGGTTTTTTTTACACAAAATTTGGCGACTACTCTTCGGTGAGAATGACTTATTGGCATTGTTCCAGCAATACGTTTGAGACAATGATTCACCACGGATTGAATTAATTAAATTCGATTTTGCACTTTTGGGTGAAAAGCCACTTCTTGTGACCCCGCTGTGTATCAGACCCGAAGGCATGCACGCACGCACACACACGCTTTATTTTGGGAGTAGTGCTTTATTTTTATGATACGTGTGCTCTTTGTGAAATTTGCGATCCAGCTTCATGTGAATGTCGACTAATGTGGTTCCCTAAAGGAGACTCACACGAATCTTAGCATTGGTAATCATTTTTCATCTAGTTTTTGTTCCATTTTTCTATGCGCAAGGGATCTATTCTAAACCCGTGTTGGTTTTTATGTTCTTTGTATCATCATGCAACTGTGTACGAAATTATTTCCATTTTTGAGCGTGGTATCCTTACGTGTATGCACCAGTTTCAAGCAGCCCATCTTGAAGGATTCTAGAACCGATTGAAAGGTTTTCATATGTTAAAGAGGATGTGATATATTTCCCATCGCACGGTGCTTCCTGCATTTATTTTTACGGACAATCAAATCAGAAATCTGTATGACGATTTTTCTAGAAATGTTCTTGTTTAGGATTTAGTTTCAGCTTATTTTGCCTGGCAATGTTAGTAACCAAACTCCAACAAACTAGACCGAAATTCTGGATTTTGGACTACTTGAGCGCTGATCAATACAATATTTAATCCGTTGTGCCTCATCAATTATACAAGTGGTTTGCCAGTTTCGTTTATTCCCGGTTGCGCCTGAGTAAACACATTTCCTAGTGCGATACTCTTATCCGGATGCGGTGCAGAGCATCTATATGGGATGATTGTTTCAGCAACATTCTTCGATGANCTAGGCAAACATTTGGTTCTGCCCCGTTGGCAAACCTTCCTCGTTTAATGGCCAGCCATATTTGTTCTATTTACAACGTGTTCTATTCTGACTACTATTTTGTCTGTCCTATCAAAATACCTCTGGGGAATTGTTTCAAGCAAGCATCAACCCAATGCTCCTTCCTCTGTACAACCATGATCAAAAGTGGAGTGAGACGAATTTCGTCATTGCAAAAAAAGCACATTGCAAAAACCCTTTTTGGATAGTAAAACGGGGCTGGATCGCGTGCGCGTTCCAGTTGATCGAACAACAACAACAACTAATTTGCATTTTCGTTCAATTTCTATTTTGACCAACATCAGCGGGCTGTTTGTAGAGTAGTGTGTCTAGTTGCACCAGCATGAGCAATACTCGGCGACGTATTTACAAGCGGATGTTTCTGGTTCGATTCCTGTGTCACATCCAGGATAATCGATCATATTTGGCCGTTACCAGCTTGGGTGGATTCTTTTCTAGCACTAAAGGGCATCCCTCCAACGTTTCATGGTCACCAAACCGTAGTCTACCAGAATCAGCATGGCACATAACTTGTATTTAGTGCTTGTCCACAGAAAATAGTTAATTTCTTTGAAACATGAGGTACATCATGGAGTTTGATGACACATACTCAGATATTTGAAAGGTTTCATTGAGAGGAATTTTTGGTGTATAACAACTTTAATGGCATAAGTCAAGGCGCGGGAAACGAAACATTCATTGCAAAGCATCAACAGTCGAGTGTAGTTCCCATATCCGATTAGGATCTACGATACAGAACTGAATTCGACATGATGAATAAATTCGTGTCTTTATGAATGAGTTAGCAATCAAACAATGTGTTTGTATAATCAGGCTAGATTCTGGTCAGGGTTAGTTGGGTTTATCATATGATTTTGCATGCACAGCGAAAGGATTGCTAGAACTGTTACTGAGAAGAACTCGCTTCCACCATTTGTATAGCCAGTTTCTTCTCAAGTGATTTGTTGTAGCATCGGGAAACTCATCTTGAGGCTTTCCAAGCAGTTTCTTCACTAATTTTCCGACTATAGAACATCCGAATCACACGCGATTTCATTCATAAACTTGAATCTGTAAAACAAGGTCTAAATGGTGAAACCTTTTCATATCGGCTTCTGGTGAATCAAGAAAACACCCCCTACAACCTCAGGAACAGTCAACTTTTGATTGATGCAACCAAACTCCAGTGAAAGAGTTGTAGAACATTGACCCCTAAACGGTGAGATAAGTAAAAGTATTCCTACATGCCACGGTTATCAGACTTGTGCCAGAGTAAGTAAGCTTGCATATTCATTCCCCTCCTCGAAGCAAATCACCGTTTTTCACCTTCTTGATTAGCACTTCTTTTTTCCCTTTTCGTTTCTAGTTTTATCCCATCTCTTCCTTAAAAGTCATCCCAAGCACTGGTTAGATCGTTAATCCTTCCAATTTTCTTTTGCTAAATCACGACTGCAAAATTGTCACCAACCTATTCTTAGTATACACCACTGACGCATACACTGTTTATAACATGGTTTCCAACTTAAAACCACCACTCACGGTGCGAGGCTTTCTAATTCAGCCGTGCCACAATCTACCATCTGAATTTTTCACGATTTTACAGTGGAAAATTGCGTTCTATCCTCAACACATTTTATTAAATCAATTCGGTCAATTTTCAAGAGTAATCTTGTGCACTCAATCCCAATCATTTGGAGGCCCAGCTGGATGGCATTTTTGTAAATATCCCAGATGTCTTCTTTATAGAAAAAGGAGCCCCTATTAGCACGTTCGACCGCTGTACATTTATTTTGAACCCAAAAATCTATGGTAAAATGTTTCATCGTCAACAAACAGAGGTAGGATCCCGAATAATACGAAGGAGAAATTTTACACATGATAACTTATCTCGACTCCAAGATGTGATCTCTTCAACCGATTTTTCTGTCTTCTCCAATTCAAATAATTCTTCCCGACTTGAATATCTCCCCGGCTACCTTAATTTCTGTTTTGATTTGTGTTGCTCGATCGAGATAACATATATATTCGTACCGACAGATTCTCATCGCCTCTCCTAAAACGCCTTGAACGCGATAAGGAGAAGGCATATTCGAATGGCAGGCGCTACGATATTAAACGACTCTCAGTTCTTGATGCAAGCGCTGGAACTGTTCGCCTTATTCTTCTTGACTACGCCAACGCCTTTGGTTCGCTTGCCCGTCGCATTCTCATTCAACGTCTTGCC